TAAGTCGAAATAGTATTCATATACATGGTCGGGTGAGTTTGCTCGCATATTTATTTATTCCATTTCGCTTGTGTGTCATCGCTATATTTAAACAAAATCACATATAGCATGTACATAAACGCTCGATTTTTTTTAAACCAAATAGGACCGGAACCTTAAAATTCCTGGTATAATTCCGGTTTTTATGAGAATATCGGTTTTCATATAGTTAAATCCGAGAACCCAACTTCAGCCCATTAATAAAACTGGCAAAGCTATTCCATAAAACTGAGGTTTATGTGATTGTTTTAATAACCATATCGGATTTGGCTGTTTAGTGACTTGAGTTTCTTCACAAAAATAACAGTCGAGCTATTTTGCAATACGTTTTACATTTTTGTGGTTTGGGTTAATAGAAGTAGATTAAAGTGGCAGAAAGTAAAAGAAGCAAATAAGGAATATGAGTCTACTTTTAACTTTTCATGAAATTATTTGTAGCTATTCGCTGATTTTAAGCGAAACTTCAGAAAAATATTGTCAAACATCTGCACAATCAGAAACTATTGGACTACTGCAGAGCAGAAGGAACCTCGTTATAATATTAGTCCAAAAAAAATATCTGGATCAATTAATGAAGGTCGCAAGCTTAAAATAGAAATATATTGCAAAAACTTGAGGCAGTGATGAAATACAAAAAAATATTTGACTTGGAAATATGTCACGTTTATATGGCACCGCAACAGGAAAATTGTGTTCCTGATATGCTCATCATATATCACCTATTTGCAAATATTGAATCGAGCTCAAACTACAATGCGCCCACCATAAACTTGCCAAATGTAGGTTAACGCATTTGCGCTAAAACGGGGAATATGGTTGTGAAAAGTGAGCAAATGCAAATGTTATTCAAGGTAACTAAAATATTATCGTTAGATAAATTATTGCACCAAATATAGCTTAACTTCACAGGTCTCTTCAGTGAGATATGGCCTTATCAACAATAGGACAGAGTTTTGTAGGGGAATTTTAAATATATTTTTACTAACTCGTTGGCAGAAATATGTTGCTTCTTAGAATATTCTGAAGTTTCCTTTAAGAGAAAAATATATCGAAAAATTTTTATACGTTTTTGACTTAATAAATTAAGCTATTTTTGCTAACATTTCGAGCCCAAAGTCTGAGAACACAAACACATTATTGCGTGAAGCAAGAACAGGAAAACATCAGCAGGATGAGGACTAATAGGTCCGACACAGAGCAAAACTTGTTTTTGCTTCATGTATTTTTACTTCTTTTCCCTCTATATGAAAATATTTGTACAGGTAATTTATTAATATTAAGTGCTTAAAAACTTACTTTTCAATTCCCAAACAACTCGGAATGTTTTCACGTTTAGTATCATTATTGTCGAATTTGATCTGATTGTTTTAATTAGCAATTAATTATATCGCTATGGCTATCGCGTTGAGCGAGACAAACTTTGGTTGCGCGCTCACCCGCCCCTAAGCGCCGCCACTGTTTAATATGCCTGTTGCTTGTAAATACTTGTTCATATAATTTAATTCGTAAGCGAACCTCTAAAAATCTAGAAAGAATCGCAAAACAAAATACCTACTTGCAATAAACTTTTATTGCCTTTTCCGGCTACTGAAACAACTCGTTAGATTTTATTTCTAAATCGTGTTTCTTCCATTTATGGGCAATTAAAATTTTTGCTTATCTGGTGTTTTGTATGCGATATACAAAATAGGTAACCGTTTGCTCACAAATGACCTGATTTTGTTTATTGCACGACGTCTTGCGTGATGTATGCTTCTTTGAGGTCAATAAAAAATTAAAGAGGACCTTACAGATTTATGTTATTATTTCTAATTCTTTTGAGCATTTGCCTAGTTTGAAGAGGGAATCCCCAATGAAAGCACCTAATTTAATTTAGCCGTACGCTCGAGACAAAAAATTGCAATTATATTTTAGAACGCACGAAAGTCGAACAAAAAAAATTGGGTTCATTAAATTCACCATCGATTACTGTAAAAAAGCATGTTTTACATGCCAGCAACTTAACGTGAAATTAGATCATATCATTTTTTTTCCACAGCACGTTGCACAACATAAATCAAACACTTAATTTGGGCTCCAATGTGAAAGAAAAAAACTTTCTTCTACAATCAAATTTTAAATACACATAGCCTAATCGATCAATTAAAATCACAATCAATTTGGAACGCGATATGTTAAACACCATGTCGTTTAATAACTATGTTTGAATATAAAGCAGCCTTATCTCATATCGCAAATCGAACCAATTAAATGCAATACTTTGACGTAGTGGTAACTGCTTTATTAACAGGCAGATGCAGTCAAGATAATCTCCAATAAGATGCCGAGTGTTAAACCAGATTGAAGGTATATTATCTCTATTAAAAAGATAACAATCACTTTTTTAAACTAAATGAGATATTCGCCCTTAATCTTGTCAGTTGGCATTAAGGAAGCTTTGTCTTATTAGAAGCGGGACGTTATCTCTAGATACGGCTTGTGCCACAAGTTTTATGTGGCAATGCGAAAGTTGTCTTTAGAAGTAATAGGTGGCAATCATAAATTTCAACTAAGTTCAAAAAATCCCATCGAATTTGTAAAATACCATAATAGACACCCGACAACCTCTGAAGGTGTATGCTACTTCTGCTAGCGAAACACGAAGAATAAATTAAGCAGTTATAGAAACAAATCAGAGCGACTGATTTAAAAAAGGTTGAAATAATTCGCAAAGTTAATTCTGGTAAAATCAGGCTGCCATGACGACTTGGCGTTTCATTTCGTCCAGTACTCTGGAATCGAAATTCCGTTCTCATAATGCAGAAGGTCTACTAATCAAGCCTTAAAAGTAACCTTAAAACATTCTAATTATACACTGGAAATATTGCCTAAAAAGTAACATCAACTTCATCTTCTTTAAGGATTGAAATTCTATGTTCTATCCATTTTTAATCAATAACAATTGATTTGAACGCAGCTGTTTTCGAATAGTTAATTATACAATTCTAATCCTATATCTACTTACCTTTATTTATATACACTTGGCAAATTGTCCAAAATGCCTCTTTGAAGTTCAGTTCGTGGTTGCTGATTCCTTGAAACAATAAAAATTGAATAAAATTGAAATTGCATAATAAAAGCTTTGGAATATTATCTTTTACAAAAACAACGCTACATTTCTAAATAAATGTCTCCAGATTTAAAACTTTTCAATTTCTAGTCAACTCAGTTGTAACCCGAATTAGAAGGAAACAGGCTGATTAAAGTTTTTCGAATTACTAAATTAAAATACAACTTTTATAATCATAAAACATTTTACAATAGAAAATAGAGAAAACGAAAATGAAATCTATCCTAAGTTCCTATCTGGATAACTAATTATCTTCAGTTGGTTGTGTGATTATTATTATATTTTTTCTAGTTGTGTACCTTTTTTATACTGTAACTTTCCTTTTTATAGCTGATTTTTGCTAAAGAAATATACATTAATTCCAATGTTAAAGAAGTCAATGAAGAAAAGAAAGATAATTCATTAAAAAGTGTTGTGTTATTAACTTTAATACATTTATTTCATAGCTAGTTGCTTAAAGATTTCTAACTAAATAAATTCAATATGCATCTAGTGCTTAAGTTCACCTTGAAGAACGATCGTCTCTAAACAATTTAAGGTAATTTTTAGCTTGCCATAGTAGATGATAAATTAAAAAAACTACAAATACACATATGTTCCGAAATAAAAGTTGATAAACTGAAATAATATTTTAAGTTTAATTAAGTCATTTAATTGCAAATAGTTTAAACAATACTAACGCGATTTATTTTAAAATATGAATTTTATGATTTATGAATGAACACAAAACGTGGTAACATTTTCATAGAAATTTTTTAGTTTCTACTTATACTTTAAAATCTTTTAACGCATTTTCGGCGAAAACTTCTATATTTTAAAATACACAAATGCCTTCAAAACTTTTTTGAGGCAAAATTTGAATAAAAAAATTTATCGCAAAATGTTGAAAAAGTCGTAAAATAAATAAAATCAAATTAAAATCATTTTTAAGTTTTTTTTAGCAAATTTTCTATATGCAACTGATTAATTAATTCTGTTTGTAAAATGTGACGCTTGCTGAAGAACTAATTCGTACCACAATATGACATTATTACCATACAATTCATAAAATAATTTTTTAAAAGCAATTTATCCTTGTACTACTTTTCACTTCATTTCTGTTATCCTTAACAAAAAGTATATTAACGGAATCTTGTATCTATTTTTCATAGGGTTAACCGTTATAATGTAATTAATTCTACATTTTGGCAAAAACCATAAAAATTTGCATGGAAATGGTCGTTCTATTTCATTCGTTCTAAAGATTCTAAAAAACTAGAAATCACCCATAAAAACATTTTTATAAATATTTGCACCTACACCCAGGTAGGTATTATTGCAAAAATGTGCCGCTATGGTTGTTACAATAAATTAAAATTTTCTTTTTTACCACTAACTTAACTTTCCTTCTTCCCTTCTTCTAAAGTCCTAGTTTTTTTCTATGAAATGTTACACACACCATTATATTTCAGTAATCATACTCAGCAGACTTCATCGCTTAATTCGCATACCTAATTAGTAATTTTGCAAATACTTTAAGAACATAATCGCACATAATTAGATTTTAATTATATTCTTTACTTGGCAATTTTTATTAAGCAAATATCGTGCTTTGTCGTCAAAGGAACATTTATCACCTCAGTTATACACAGTTGGACATTATGCGCCACAGAATAGGAACAAAAAATCAAAGACAATATAATTAAATATATTACACAAACAGTGTCAAAATAAAATAATGGCAAAATAAGATAACATTCAATTAAACTGTATGTGTCGACAATAGGTAATGCTAAATTAATTTTTGTTAATGCTTTAACTTTAATTCGAACTACTTTCCTTGCCAGAAATCCACACAAAAGCGACAATAAACCGTTTTAAAAATTACCGTAAATGTATGTCGGTATATGTATTCAAATATTTTCTTTTTAATAATAACACAAAAGTACAGTGTATGCAAAAAAAATTAAACGTGTACTTACCAAATGTTAGTAAATTGGCAAAATCAGCTTCCAGTAAACTTTGAAGTTTGACAAAAACTCACTAAATATATTATTTTCGTACGTAAAAAATCGAATCGTAATCGCCGGTAAAATTAAATCGCACGTCTCAAGTTTGGATTCCGCTTTCAATGAGAGCGCGTAAACGAATAGAATCCATTTCATTGCCAGTGGAAAATCGGTCTTCAGCTTCAGCTGGCGCAGATGTTGAAGCGGAAGGAAGGGAATGGATTTGCACTAAATCAGTAAAAACTTTGTTATTGTTTGCTTCCTTTGCACAATTTTTTATTCAAATTCTTATATAATGTATTTAGTGCGCATATTTTTGTTCCTTTTCGATTTTTTTTCGATTTATACATTTTAATAAAAAACGCCTGGAAAAATTGATTTTATTTCATGGCCTGGACCTCAAATGTATTTTCGTTTCAAATAAGTCGAAGTTTTTTTAAGTGTGGGTACTAGAAATACTGATTTACAAACTATGTTCTTTAATGTACTTTCACTTTTTGTTTCATTTACTTCATATGCCGATTGCTTCAAATTTCAAAAAATTACAAGTAAAGTGTGATAAGGGAGTGAAATAATTGTACTTAATTCTATGAGTATTAAAGAATCTCGTTATTCCTGTGGACTGGTTGTAGAAGAGTACTACAAACCAAGGACCCGGACCGAAACGAAATAACTTCCGTTCCGGTTTGGGTCCAAGGCAAAATGAAAATTTCGGTTCCGTTCCTGTTCCGGTTTAGAAAATAATTTCCAATTCGGTTCCGTTCCGGTTCCGGTTTTTTTTTCGGTTCATTTCGGTTCCAAAATCTATGTATAACAACGAACGGGGACAAAGATACTCTAATTAGGGATTTCACTATCTTTATCTTTGCTTGTTGTATTTTACAAGATAAAAGATGCTGACTGCTTCATACGGTACTTCGGCTGGTTGTATGGTAAGGGGTAGGAGTGTAGGAGGACTAGCAACCCCACAAAAGGATTGAAATTCAGGTAACATTAAATGGAACAACACTGCAATAAAGACTCCTATAAAAAAATTAATTTAATCGTATTTTTGAAAAGTAATTTGTCAATGAATTTTCTGACTTTAGCGCTTTTCTCTTCTTTCCGTTTTTACTCAGGTCCACAACTTCGTCAATTCCTCTTCTTTCACTCTTATCTCCGTTTAAAGATTGTTCTTCGTGGTTCATGTCTTCACCATCTTTTGAGGAGTTTCTTTTGTACAACATTTCAATTTCAAATGTTTCTTTGTTGGTGATCGAAAAACTAAAATAATTGAACTTAAAAAGAATTTAACAAATAGTGTATAAACGTACGGTGTTTGTTCTTTTCGATTGAAAAGTCGGTTGGTACTCACAAATAGTTGTTCCTCTAAAATGTTTTCTTTAATATTTGACCTCGAAGGCGGCAACAAAAATTTGAGTCCTGAGAATAACCTCTCAACACTAACTTGAGTTGCCGGTACGCTTAATAATACTGGAGCAAACATGTATAACTCGGGATTAAACTCTTTCTTTTCCTTCCAGAAATCAAAAATCGTTTCATTTTTCCGTAAGCGTATGCGGSTTTGTTCCACTTTATAGGAATTTAAAATATTTTCAATTTTGTTAAGGGCTACAAATGAACCTTGTGAAAAAAATTTCTACTGATTAATTCCTTTTAAAAATTGTTGCTGTGAATCTTTATGTATCAAAAAGACTTCCATTTCATCGCTTGATGAATTAGATGATTCAGTTTCCATATCGTGTTGGTCAGAGTCATATTTAGAATTAGAAGAATTGCACTCTTTGAAGAATATCAGTCTAGTCCATAACGACTTTAAATGTGCTTTTGCTCTTTCTACTTGATCGTAGTCTAAAACTACCTTATACCGAGGGTCCAAAAATATCCCAGCAAGGATTATTTTTCATTTGCTTATAAAATGCGTAGTAATTTATTTCAAACGTTACAAGCACAACCGAAAAAACAACGAAAAAACCGAAATAAAATATTTCGGTTCCGGTTCAGCACCTAACAGTGTGTTAATATCAAATATGGGTTCGGTTACGGTTCCGGCCCAAAAAAACGGTTCCGTTCCGGTTTTGGGTCCATATCGGTTCCGGTCCCTGCTACAAACAGCCAAAAAATAGCAAGAAAAACAATTCCTTTAAAACCGATATATGTATTTGCAAAACAGTAAATCATAATTTTGTTTCAACATCTATAATTGAAGTCCTGTGAGGACTTATTTGAACTCCTCCGCGAAAAGGCATTGTATTTGGCAACATCATACATTTTCATTAAATCAAAATTTACTAATTATTAATAATTTCTTGAAAGCAAGCTAAACTAAAGTTTTCATCTATTATGAATTATAGATTATCATGTTACGTTAATTTAAAAATGTTCTTCAAAATGGTCGAAAATGATGCGAAAAAAATTTAAACTGAATCTACATGCAAAAATGTTGCTTAGATGCAAAGTTCCAATGATTCAAAATCACCATTGGTGCGAAGCAAAAAAAACTCAAATTATCATATTTTTTGTTTCTCAAGTTTATCGACTAGAAAACAAGTAGTTTTCCGATCCCGTCGATTAAGCTCTTAACTACATTTAGAACATTTTAGAACAGAATACGTAAAATGATCCCTCAAAAAAGCAATTATTACAACCTTCCTCCTATGCAACATAGACTGGATCATTCTGTGAATATTTGTGACACTCTTTTTGCATTATTCAAATCTCCGAATGTCTTCCTGATGTTATATTTGTCTTATGACTCTATTTCTATTAACATGTGTTGCATAGTAAACTTTTAACTACCTACAAATATCAAGTCGATTAATTTAAGATCAGTGAAATGACAATGTTGATAATTAATTCGCACTGAGGTTGTAACTGCAAATAATTTCGTTTTCCGAAACAGTGTAGGTTTGTCTGTAACATCCTACGCGATTTCGCTTTTTTTGGATTCTTTCTACTATGTAAATGAATGAACAGCGTGTTGAAATATTTTCATTCATGTTCCGTCTGGGTCGTATTTATCTATAAAACTGCATTAGCTGTTGATTTTAATATGAGGAAAAGAGTAATTAGAAGGTGCTAAAAGCTAGCCAATGGTAAATATGAGCTTTTATTAATACGCTATGTATTCTGAAAGTACTTAGTTGTGCAATTCTTAGAATAATGTCCAGTAAGTGAAAGTGTGATGGAATTATTTCTTACTTACAATAACGTTAATCTTAGCAACCAGAAATAAAATAGAGAAATAGAGAAAGAATAATGCTCACAAAATATTACCAAACTTATATTTCAGTGTAATTTTGTAAAAAAAGGATACCTATCTTCTTTAAGATTTAAATACTCTAACCCAGTAGTTTTCTTCACTTGACAAAATATGTCTGATATATGCATACAATATATGACTGTCGGTTGATAAAATTATTACCATTAATTCCCAAGTTGAAAGACACCGATCCGTTGCATTGAAAGCATCTTTTTAAAGGTCAGCGCGATTTATTTTAATTGGCCCACTTTTATCACCTTTCCAGTACTGAGTACCAAAGTGTAAACGTAAGAATTGCACAAATAATGCGAATGTAAATTAATTAATTTGAGATCGTGCTTATTGGGCTCTTACTTGGAATTCTAAAGTATGTTATGCACATTTGGAGCAGTTTATGTATGTTTATGGTTGTTTTAAAGCTATCCGGAACTTACGAAAATTCTCGAAAGCTATTTGTAATTAAATATTGTTTATTAATTCAAAAGCCATTAACCTTTATTGACTGCGCGTACGAAAAAAGTCGTTAATGGAAAAAGCAATATATTAAACGAGACATTAATACATTGATTATCAGCATAATTATATTTTTTGCTACAGCTTATTAAAAATTTTCCTTGGGCTAATAATCATTGATTGATGAAAGTTTATTGATAATGTAATAAGGGAAATTTAAAGATCAATCGAATGGCCGACCAGACAGTGTTTTCAACATCTTTGGAAACGATTCTTAAAATAAATATTTAAGTTATATAGGTTTTGAACTTTTTATCGTTTTTATTTGTAAATTAAGGTATTCATGGGTTAGCTTGAAAGCACAGTGCAACTAAGACTATTTTAAAAATATTGACGTTTAACGTTGGGTCATATTAAAAATAAAATTGGCAAAACCCGCGTAGATAAATATACTTTTTTACTACTCAAACTAACCAAAGCAACAAAAAAGAAATTATCTAGTTCTGGTTTATACGCCCCTCGTCTTCGAGACTAACAAAATGCTGTAACAACTTAACAAAAGTGGCAAGAAAACAGACATGATTTTTGTGCAAAAACTATGAATGCTACAAGATTTTAGAAAGAGCAGAAAATTGTGAATAAATGAATAGTGCATCAACAAAAAAAAATGAGTTGATTCCATCCACCAAAGAAAAAGTTCTGGTAAATTTTGTACCACGACACTCAAGAATTCACCACTTGTCCAAAACGAATAAACTCGTTTGTTTCATCACAATATGAGTTTTACATAAGAACAAATTCACAGCGAGTTTCACCAAAATATATCGTTCCATTCTTCCGATATTTTAAAGAAGATACATTTTTTGAAGAACTTTGATCATCGATAACAGAGGTGCCAGACATTTTTTGTTAATAACAGTTAGATCAGGTCGTCTTCTTTTGATTCAAAGAATATCGCAGTACCCTTTTAGTCACGTGCTTATGGGACATCCTGTATATTAGGTAACTTATTAAACTAGCAACTTTTCTTAGTGGTGTTTATTGGAGAAAATAATTTTTCCATCATTTTTCACCGGTTGAAGTGTATTACTTTTTCATAATAACACAAAGAACATTCCTCAAATCTAATTTTTATTTGTACTTTATAGTTCCTGCCTTTCTGTATTTTATATTTTCTTTAGTACATTTTGTAGCCATTTGAGTCGTTTTTGTTCAGTTTTTATTCGTTTTTGCAAACATTGATTAATTACTTGTTTGTTTTTTGTAACAATGCGATCTGTTATTTTCTGTTGCATTATTACAATTGCATCTGTTTTCTGCAGCTGTTGCAAAATGTCTTAAAGTATTGGTTTTGCCCATGCAGCATCGGTATGAAGAGAGGTGTATAAAATTATGGCGTTTTTTCAGGATAAAATTTCAAACATAAGCAAAAAGTGATCAAAAACCGCAGTCCACCAAGAAACAGCTCTAAAAAATGCTCTTTGGCTAAAAGTTTTTAACAAAATGATTATATGCAAAGCAAGCGCACCGAAGAACTCTGAACGTTAACTGGAAAAGGTACTTGAAATAAAACAAAAACTTGCATTACTTCTTGAAAATTGCGTGGATTATGTTGAGGCCAAATATCGTTTGTTGCAAAATCACACATTTTCTTCATATCTACTGTCAATTAAATGGGTTTATACACAAGTGAAAATTAAAAATGAAACACATATTGCAAATATAGCATAATAAGTTCCATAATTTGCAACCAAAAACATTAAGATGTTTAAGATGTGCAGTTGTCTAAAAGTAAGCATTTTTTTCCAAATATGTCAACATGCTTTGTTTTCTATGCTCTGGTCATCACAACTTCCATAAATGTTGCTTTTTGGTACTCGTTTTTGCGCCCAGCTTTGTACTTCTCCAGAAGCACAAATAACAAACACAATTGCACCAATTATATATAAACCAGCGGCTATAAAAAATACGGTCTGCCATTGTTCGACAGTCTGAAACGAAAAATTAAAATTAGAAAAACAATTTCGTATTGTCTGATTTGTCTGAAAGCCTGCGTTCTCATGTGAAATTTAAACGCAAAATTCGAAATATTGTTCGGTTTTTAAACCCCAAGATCAATATTTGGAAACAGTTATTACAAACATTATATAACAGATTCGAAAACTTGAACATTCAACATTGAAAAATTAAAACATAGATCAAAAACACTAATAACCCAAACTAACCCAAACTAGCAAGGAAAAAAAATAATTTGAGAGTACGCAAACTGATGTAACTTTGTATACAAAGTAACAACATAAAAATGCAACGTACCGGGTTATCCGAAACAATATATCCAGACAAAATTGGACTGATAATTCCTGGCAACGTTCCAAAAGTATTGCTGATTCCCACTATAATGCTTGCGTATTGAGGGGCAATATCCAAAGGGTTCACACTTAAAAAAAATAGTTGCCATAATTCTAAAAACATCGATCAAACCATTCCATCTTACTAATATCCCACAAATGCAAATGCGCCAATTCCAACAGCAAATGTTAGACAAATAACAGTGACAATTTCGCTGGAAGCAAAAGCGACTGCAAGCAGAAAAACGAATTGGGCAGAAAATCCCACAAAAGTCCAAGTTTTTCTGCATTGGGTAACAGTTAGATATCCTTTGGTAAGCACAAAATCTGCAAGCTGTCCAGCCACTGGTACAAAAATGCCCATGGCCAAATAAGGTAATCCGGAAAGGAATCCAGATGTACCCAAATCAAAACTATAAATATCTAAAAGAAAAATTGAGATTTAGGATAATTTTGCTGGTAAGCTTTACAGCTTCTGTTCATATTTACTATGAACAGAAGATTTAAAGTTTGAAGGAAGAAATTAATTGAAAAAAATTGGAATTATTATTTTTGTTAAGTGTTTTTTTGCATTCGCTTTGTCCGTAAAACGCATTTCAGATTGTCTGCAGCAATAAAGCATATTTTAATCAGATTTAATTTGATTATAAAACAAATTCAATTTCTCTTGTCAGGTAAATATTTCAAATTACAAATTACCTCAAACCAATTCAATAAGTTTCTTTGAAACGCCAAATATATTTAATCAATCTTGCTTGAATTAGATATTATACATACTTTCGTTTAATCGTAATTTTAACTGTATTCATTCATAAAAATAAATATTTGGAAAAAATCTTAAAAATAAGAACGATAAAAGTAGTTGAAAAACAACGATATAAAAGAACAACATTTTTAAATTCTGGCTGCTATAAGAATTTTAAAGTTTAAAAATTTTTCTATTTAGTAGAAAAATAAACGTATTCACTGACCTGAATACGTTCAAAGTGGCACATTGCTATGAAAATGCTAAGCTAATTAAGTTTTAAAAAATAGTTATTTGAAAATGTAAATATAAATAAATATAATCTCCAATACATGAATAAGAAATAATGAATTGTGAATGAATGAAAATATTTGGACCGCGAATTTTTTTTAATTAAATTTCTATCTTAACCTTTGCTTGATCATTTAAAATTATCGAGTTATTAGTAGTTGTTCCCACGCAAAAATTAAAGGAAGCTTATTTTTCTTATTCAGTTTTGAAATATAAATAGCAATGATTACCTTTCAAATACTTTGGTAATTGGGTCAAAAATGTGTAAAATCCCCAATTCTCACAAATATTCGACATGCAAATAGCTAAAACAGCCTTTGATGAAGCAATAGACTTCCATGGAACCGGTACTTTTTCAAACTCTTCCTTCGTGTTAATTTCTAGAGAAATTTGAATATATTTCAGTTCCTCTTCACTTATTTTGGAGTCTTGGTCTGGCGAACTTGTCACAATGTATAGCCAACAGGCGTACCAAAATAGTCCTACTGCCCCTTAAATAAATTGAAAAAAGATTGTTGAAAAAAAGGGCGACACTCTATTGCATCTTTGCGATTAAGTAGGAAGTTTTCTGAAAATGTTCTTGACAAAAGTATTATCGGTACTAAACTTTACAATAACCAATTTAATCAGTTTTAAATTTAATCAGTACTAATCAGTTTTATATTTTCTTTGCGTATGGTTAAAAAAGGTAAATAGAAAATCAGAAATAAACCTAATAAAACAATGCTAATTACAAAAATTAATTACCTGACTAATTATTCTGTGGGTTAAAATATATTAAATGCTTATTATAACTTCAGTCAAAAATGGTACAACTGTCCAATATCCTGATTTAAAATAAATAAAATATCAAAATTTCAAATACTTTGTATATGAGATTTAAAGTATTTATTGAGACGATATGTCCAAAAAGCCGATTTCACATTTCATACGTATACAGGAACTGAATAAAACAGTAAAAAAAGAATTAGTTTGTTAGCAGTTTTATTCGTTATAATATTTGTGCAGACCATTTGTCAGACTTTATTCCAACTAAAAATATATTTTGCAAAGTCTTCAGTGAATATCTAGTTTCTGTTCAAGACACTTTGCAGATTTAAAAGAACTAATTGTTGAACTTAATTTAAATTCTAAATTATTAAAAATTAAAATATAATTTTTAGAACGCACAGACTCACAATGAATGAAATTAAATTTTGAAAGCTCAGTGTTCAATTTTTCATTTGTGCTCAATTTTCATAAAAAGCATCTAGTTTTTACCGGTAAATTTGAACAAACATTTTAAATCGCGAAACCATTCATAATTGCCAGAGCTGCAGGACTACAAAAACCTGTCCGGAAAAATCTATACAGGATGTTAAAAAACATGAAAGTCAATATTTGATAATTTTATTATTATTATTTACGGGTAATCAAATTAGTGTTTACATGAACGTTGAAGCAAAATGCAAAAAAAATAATTTTGATTAAAATTAGCATTTTCTTCAAGTTTTTACAGAATCAATTGTTCAGTGGCATCAAGTTTTGTTTTTCGAACGTTTTCTAAAGCAGCAATTGAACAATATTGATAAAAAAAATCCGCATAAAACATTGGAACTACATTTGGGAAAATAGGTTGATAAACTAAACATATGTATTCATCGATCACTTTTAGAATGACACACACGCAAAATTTTACTCAAATGTATCGCTCACTCTATGTGAAACCCTAAACTTTCAGTTCAATAGTTATTTCATCAAATCTGTTGGAACCCATTCTGATAAAAAAAAATAAGTTGCGACAATTCACAAGTTTTACAGAAAGTGGCTCAAAAAATCTATAATACTATGTTGAATGAAATATAAACAACACGAACACTTTGCGAAACTTCAGCTTCGACCCACGTATTCAGGTTTTCAGTATCCTCAACATTGCCTTACCAAAAAACCAGAAAATGCTCCTCCATCCAAACGCTTCGGCCAACAAGGCGCTCAGTGGTAAAGCAATTACGGTTCCAAAATAACTTCCAGCTGATGCAAACATCATCAATCCAGAACGTTCCAGGGGTGGAGCCCATTTAGACCAAAGTCCAGCCACACTTGGGTAAGTTACTCCCTTAAGCCATATTACAGTTATCAACGAAAAATGTCTGACTATTGACCACTCACCTCGAATATTCCCTCAATAACTCTAACACATATTAGCAGATAAACATTATTTGCTAGCCATGGGGTAATTAACGTAGCTGCAGCTGTTACCGCTATTCCGGTGCCAAAAATTATTTTTCCTCCGTATTTTTTGGCAAAATAGCCTCCTAATAGTTGAGTCGTAATATAGCCATAGAAGAACGAACTGAGAATGTATCCTTGGATTTCATTGGACCATTTAAATTCCGGTCCCTAAACGCAAAACTCTTCAAATTATAATTTAAAATATATATTGGAAACCTAAAGCTTTAAAGATAGATAACCAATCAACTGAGAACTTCCAACAAACTCACACAAATGGCAAGAATAACTGAAACACTACTAAAAACACTGGCAATGTGGAAGACCCTTTTTTCCCAACAAGGCAAACTAGACAAACGGCATTTCGATTTTTTTTCTGGACCGTTAGAGAGTACTTTCGGATATAGAAAAGGAAAAAAAGTTTATTTAGTTTTATTTTCTTCATTGAGAATATTTAACAACCGATAAGCGTTCGTAATAGCAAACGTCTAAAAGGCCGATCGATTGATGACCTGTTTTCGAAAAGCATTGAAATTCGAGCATTGAAAATTGCTGCAAATCTCTGCATTGATCAAAACGTGTTGTTTTTTTATTGTGAATTATTCAAATCTATGTCAGGTGGAACTCTTTTAAGAAAAATATATCAATATGTCAAATGTATTTTGTATTGAAAGAAAGTAGTTTAAAAAGAAACGAAAGTTTAAAAAAATAGTTTTCTCTTATAAATAAATCATATTTGCATCTTCCAAAAATTTCTGTTTACAATGATCAAATAAATTCCTCTCTGTTTCAAGAAAACTTTAAAACCAGCAGGTTTGGTACCAACAACTTACTATATAGATAAGTTCTATATTGTTGAGGCGGATTCATTTTTTATAAAAAAAAGTCACATAACTGACAATTTACACAGACGAATTATCAGA